TACCTGAAAGTCAAGGATCATAGAAACAAATAACTCTACAAAATGAATCATCTGCTCTGTTTATACCAAGTGCCTTGTTATTTCCATGATGAAATTCTCCATCCTGCTTAAACTGGAAGGGAGGCTTTCTCTACTTTCCTTTGTTTATGGAGACAGAACATGAGATTCAGAAAAGAAATGTGGTATTCTAGGTTCAAACTATCTCCAAATACAATTTTCTTACACTTACAATTTTAGTAACTCTGGAGGAATCACTTATACTCCAATCCCTGATATCCTTTTCAGTAAAAAAAGTTAGAATAACCGTCAGCTCAAAGTCCATATATTCCATAAAGCTTTCCTGACTGCTCTGACCCTCCACTAATTCTTCATATCTAAGAAGTTCTACATCATTTTTGGTTATATATTACATTGTAACAGTCAACTGATGTGTGTATGTTTATCATTATTTATCCAGGTAGTACACATACTCTTAGGGAATCATACAGGTAAATTGAGTTTATACTTCATGAAATAGGTTAAGAATGGAGGACTGCATTCACACAGATTACATTCATCACTTTACTACAGTTAATAGTCATGAGGTTGTTGTAAGGATTAAATGATATAGAGTAGGTCAAATGGCTAACTACTTGCACTAGTAAATGCTAAGCAAATATGCTATCACTGTTTAAAAAAGGGCATCTCATTTGTACCTCTACGACATATTACAAACACTAAATCCTAGGGATTAAATTCTCACACTACTTTATTGCATGATTGAACTATCAAAATAATAGCTTACATTTGTGCTATTAAATATCAACTAAAATTCAGTTTAAATTGTTCTATTCAGTTCATACCTCAAAGAACAAGATGACTTTAGGACTCTCATCAAAATCTCGAAGCAAATAGGAAAAATTTTCATTAAATATAATTTGTTCTTCCCATTCTGGAAGTCTTGATTTTAACTGCTTAAAATCATAGGGCTGGGTCATAATAGGAAGAATATAATCCACACTCTCTTTTTCATAGTAAGATGAAACAGGCCGTTCACTGTTCAAAAAAACATACTTCCATTAACATAATTCTTCGTACTTTTGAGATGAGAAAAAATATACAGTATACAAGGTCAGGCAACCAGAAATAACTAATAGCC